CAACCGAGCGATTCTGTGATTCTGTGACCCATTTGGGTCCAAAAAAGGAACTGGACACTCAGGAGGTGGACACATCTTTGTGTCACACACTTGGGAAAGGCAGGACCAGTGGTTTTGGTATGAACCGCAGAGCCACGTATCCCAAAATCCTGTTCAACAGGACAGGCAAGAGAACAGCAAATCGGTGCAGAAGGAAGGGGCTGACCCAGCTTTTTGCACCCACGCTGCAGTGTGGGAAGTAGGGCACACTCCTCCCCAGCCATCCTTGAGTCCTCAGCCCTTCCCACACCCTATTTGTGTCCCAATCTCGCAGCTCCCCGGGGATGCAGGCGAGATGGGTGCTCCTTCACTCCATCAGCATAGAATTACAGAAACATTAAGGTTTCTTAAACCTTAAATCTGAAAAGAAATCCCTAAGATCATCAAGTCCAACCATCAACCCAACACCACCATGGCCACTAAACCACGTCCCCAAGTGCCACATCCAAGCACTTCTTGAACCCCTCCAGGGATGGGGCCTCCACCACTGCCCTGGGCAGCCCCTTCCAGTGCTTGACCACTCTTTCAGTGAAGAAATTTTTCATAATATCCAACCTAAACCTCCCCTGGCACAACTTAAAGCCATTTCCCCTTGTCCTGTCACTGGTTACGTGGCAGAAGAGACCAACACCCACCTCTCTACACCTTCCTTTCAAGGAGTTGTAGAGAGCGATAAGGTCTCCCTTCAGGCTCCTCCAAACCAAACCACCCCAGCTCTTTCTGCCACTCCTCATCATTCTTGTGCTCCAGATCCCCCACCAGCTCCGTTGCCCTTCACTGGCCATGCTCCAGCCCCTCAATGCCCTTCTTGGAGTGAGGGACCCAAAACTGAACACAGGATTTGAGAGGCAGCTTCACCAGTGCCCAGTACAGTGGGATCAATCACTGCCCTGCTCCTGCTGCCCACACTATTTCTGATACACGCCAAGATGCCATTGGCCTTCTTGGCTCAAGGACACATTGCTGGCTCATGGTCATCCTGCTGTCCACCGACACCCCAGGTCCTTTCCAGCCACTCGTCCACAAGTCTGTAGCACTGCATGGGGTTATTGCGACCGAAGTGCAGGACCTAGCACTTGGCCTTGTTGAAGCTCATCCAATTGGCCTCAGCCCATGGATTCAGCCCATCCAGGTCCCTCTGCAGAGCCTTCCTACCCTCAGGCACATCAACGCTGCCTCCCAACTCAGTGTCATCTGCAAACTTACTGAGGGAGCACTCAATCCCCTCATCCAGATCACTGATAAAGATGTTAAACAGGCCTAGCCCCAAAACTGAGCCCTGGGGAGCACCTCTTGTGACTGGTCACAACTGGATTCAGTTCTGTTCCCCACAATGGGCACCAGTACCCATCGGATGCAGGTTCCAGTGTGACCACATCCATCCAGTGGGATTGTGAGCCCAGCATGAACCATCCGGCTTTTTAACTGGTTTGTCAGCTGGGGTGTGCACGTCAGACTCCAGACACCAAACCAGGCCCAGAACTGTCACCACTTTGCTCCCAGCAAGAGAAGCTTCAGCATCAAACCAGAGATTTAAATCAGTCTCACAGCTCCATTCATGGCCCAATTTACACCCAGTAACATCTCTGAACCCCATCTACTTCCCTTGCACGAACCAGCAAGGCTTAAAACTCCACCACCTGATTAACAACCTCACTTTGCACAGGCGGAGAGAAATCAAAATCCTTCCAAAACCTCTCAGATAACCTAAGAGCCACTCCCAGCTTTCAACAGCGCAGCTGTAAAACCAGAAGACACCCACCACTATGTATAATACACATAATATACATCATTATATGCTTAGAGGCACCAAATGTGAGTGATGCCTGAGCAGTTTCCAGCATTGATGCCTTCTCATTAGACTTTGTGTCTAATGCTGCTGTCCCAAAAACGTCCCTGCCTCATCCAGCGCCTCATCCAGCATCTAACAACCTCTTTGTTCCAGACCATACATGCATATCTGGTCAAAAATAAATAAAATCAAACTAAAAATATCTCCGAGCACACGTAGAAACAGTCCAGCAATAATTCAACAGCCACAGAAACCCAGAGCATGAGAACAGTTCAGCACATCAAGCTGCAAATACGCTGCCTAGGATTGAACCCTCCCAAAGAAACGCCTTAAGGATTCAAACCCATACATTTAATTCCAATCAAAGGAACCAAATCCACAGGTTTTATGAAGGGAATGAGTAGGAGGAGATGCAGCCAAGTTCTCATAGCCACTGCGTCTGGAGAAAAACATACACAAATGTGTGAAGTCCTCCTAGCAGAGAGATGCATTTAATTCAGGTTTATTTAATTCAGATGTATTTAATTCCTTCAAGGTAGATGTATTTAATCCAGCTCTACAGAGAGGCTGGACAAAGCAGCAGGAACAACCTTGTACCCTCCTCCTTGGGGAGGAGAAAGGCAGCCTAAGGAGTCCTTTCAAAGTTCCAAGTGAATAATTTCCCAGTGCAAACGATGGTTGATCTATCAGGAGATAACTCCTCTCCACTGCAGAAAGCAAGAAAGAAATTCAGAAGCCATTTCCTAATTACGGTGGGGAAGCATTTTTAATTCACCGTGGCTGCGCTTCCACTGGCACAGAGAGACACAGGGGAAAGGAAAGATCTGTGGCATCCATGAAGTAAAAAAGAGCAATCTCACATGCACACACACGGCAGAAGGCAAGGAAGATGTTTCCTTTTGCTTTTAGTCACTTCAGGAACCAAATCAAGACACATTTTTACAGCAAGTACCACAGTTTGGAAAGAAAAAGAGCCACAAGCCACGGTCACTGAGTTTTACCAAAAGCAGATACTCCTTTCCACAGCTCTAAGACCAAAAAGCAGACGGGTCCAAGCTGGAAAATAACAAAAGTCACTTCAACGCAGACAGCTCACGACTCTGATAAACCAGGGATTTGGCCATGCAGGTTTTGGCTATCATCTGTCAGGAGCGGCTCAATAATTTGATCCACTTTTGGATGGAGAAATGAACATCACCTTCTCCCAAAGTCACTTCCAGACCTATTTTCCTTTATTTAACTTTAATTTCTCTAAATATATTGATTTGCCAACTTCTGCTTTGATCAAAGCCGGGAGCACAACCATATTTCTGCTCTGTTTACGTGTTTTCAGCCCTATGCAGTTTAAAAATCAAAAATCTTTTCAGTATAGAATCACAGAATCGCTTGGTTGGAAAAGCCCTCTGAGATCATCACGTCCAACCGCTCCTGTCTACCCCTAAACCATATCCCTAAGTACCTCGTCTACCCGCTCTTTAAATACATCCAGGGATGGTGACTCCACCACCTCCCTGGGCAGCCTGTTCCAGCTTCTGACGACCCTCTCAGTAAAGAACTTCCTCCTTATCTCTAACCTGAACCTCCCTTGGCACAGCTTGGTGTATAGGAACATTACCTTCAATTAAAGAACTGGGATTCAGAGCATGCTCCCAAAACACACAGGTTTTTGGCAGCTCCCAGCGAGACAGAAGATTTTGACCAATTTCATTTATTCTTAACCTATGTGAAGCTTTGCTTTGTCTGGGCATGGGTTTTCCTGACAGCTTCTAAAAAGAAGAGACATTTGCCAACCCCCAAATGAGCTTCAGTGGGTGCCTGGAGCCTTCCCAAGGCAGCAGCTTCAGCACCGCGACCTCTACAACACAGATGACCAAAAATTTACAGCACAAAGTGACTTATACTGGATATGCCACGGTACAGAAAGGTCCCCAACAAGCAGCTGGTGAGGACCGAGTCCTAAATTCACCCCACAAGCAGCAGTGGGCATTTTTTGGGAGGCTAAAGGGCTGCATTTCCCATCCCACACATCACCATCACCCAAGAAAAGCCACAAATGGCTGTCTTAACCTCTCCCAAGAGCCACTTCCCGCCTCTTAAATCACCAGATCCAAAGTTCTCCCCACAGCATCCTTCCCAATCCCTCTTCAAACACACGCATTGAAAGACAAAAATCTCTCTCTTCTCCTCCCACAAAAAGTTTTTCCCCTTTCCTGATGCGCACGTCTCCGTTCTCCTCAAAACACGGCAACATCCCAACGCAGAGTTATTTGCATGTGAAATAACTACAACAACACACGTAAATTTGGTAGTTGAAGGGCAGAAGGGGAAATCATTTTGCTTTGTATTCATCTGAGGAAACTGAATCTCAGCGGGGTCAAGCCGCTTGTCCACAATAACATCACTACAGAACCAGATTTGGAGCCAAAACCACCACGGAAACGTTTCACGCACGCATAGGTGCAGCTTTCCATGCCCCAGGCAGCTGATTTCTGCTCAGACCATTGCCAACCCAAGGGGCATGGGGATACACTCTCTGTTCACAAACAGGACGGACCCAGAATTACCCTAATTATCGCTATTTTAAGCAAATTACATTCAAAATCTAGATGCCTGCAGACACAGCACAGGGATACAGGTGTATTAGGTAGGTGTGTAGTTGCTAGAGGAGTATTTCATGACATGCACAAGCTTTTGCCCGGTGCAAAAGGAGAAACTAAGCCTTGCAGATGTATTACTGCCTCTGCCATCCTCGAGCACCTTCCTATTTGATGCCTGCAAGCCCAGCAAAACCACATTAAAACCAAGAAGCAGCTTTCAAACAGCCTTGTCTGGAAATGCCAAAGCACAAGAGAGCTCCAGAGTAAGGCACAAATCTTACTCCAGGCAAACAACTTCTCCTCAACGTTTGCTCCAGGATCAACAGCAGCAAATTCACCTCCTGGAGGACTTGGTAACCCATTTCTAAATCCAAAAGTGTCCCTGGCACACGATCACATCACCCCTTGGGATGGTTTTTCCTACCTTCCTTGGTGGAGCCCTGCATCCTGGTGGCCGGCAGCCTGCAGAGCCTGTGCTTGGTGATCTGCACCAGGCCTTTGGGCGAGGAGCGTTTCAGCGTCACAGAAGGTTTCCCCCGCGCCGAGGTTTTCTTCCTGAGGTGGAAGTGGCTTCTCAGAGGCGTGGTAGGTGAGGAGCTGCTCTTCTTATCCGTTGGGGAGCTGTGAAAGGGAACACCACACAGTTAGAAGAGAGTAAAGGGTGATCAAAACACCCCCGGTGCCCTCGCCCTGAGCTGAGAAGCTGGATCACCAAACTCACACACTGCTCCCCTACCCAAGGGTGAGAAGCACCAAGCAGAAAATTGCAATTAAGTAAGCAAACGTGATGAATTTCTGGCAAAGCACAGATGGAGAATGAGGTATTTGACAGCCTCACGCAACTCATTCCCTTCTGCTTTCTGCTCAACAGATGCAGGGGAGAGGATGCTGTCCCTTAGCGAGATGGGGGGGATCACATCTCCCCAGCCACCAAAAATTCCCAAACAATCCAAGCTTCTCCAGGCACCTTGCTCTGGGAAACAGAAGCAGGAACTGAGGCAGCAGATCCTCAACCAGAGCCGCATTACCAGCTCACTGTGTCATTTATAATAGTTTTTTTAGGCAACAGCCCTCAATTTTTAGGAGCTCAGGACTGGAGATACTGCAGTGAGAAAGAAGCCAAAGCAAGCATTCACTACGCTGAGGGTACCTTTGAGTTCAGTGGTAGAGAAGAGGCCACCAAACCTCATCCCATCCCACTTAATCCCTTCCCTGCAGGACAAAATAAGCTTAAATAAGGCCAAGTGCTGGGTCCTGCACTTTGGTCGCAATAACCCCATGCAGCGCTACAGACTTGGGGAGGAGTGGCTGGAAAGGACCTGGGGGTGTTGGTGGACAGCAGGATGACCGTGAGCCAGCAATGTGCCCTTGAGCCAAGAAGGCCAATGGCATCCTGGGGTGCATCAGAACGGGTGGTTGTAGGGCAGAGAGGTTCTTCTTCCCCTCTCCTCTGCCCTGCTCAGACCACATCTGCAATCTTGTGTCCAGTTCTGGGCCCTCAGTTCAAGGAGGACAGGAACTGCTGGAGAGAGTCCAGCAGGGCCACAAAGATGATGGAGGGAGTGGAGCATCTCCCTTATGAGGAGTGGCTGAGGGAGCTGGGGCTCTTGAGCTTGGAGAAGAGGAGACTGAGGGGTGACCTCATTCATGGGGATCAATTTGGAAAGGGTGAGTGTCAGGAGGAAGGAGCCAAACTCTGCTCTGTGATGTCCAATGAGCAATGGGAGCAAGCTGGAGTATAGGAGGTTCAACCTGAACATGAGGAAAAACTTCTTTAGTGTGAGGGTGCCAGAGCATGGCCCAGGCTGCCCAGAGAGGCTGTGGAGTCTTCTTCTCTGCAGACATTCAGGACTCGCCAGGGCGCATTCCTGTGTGACCTGGTCTGGGTGATCCTGCTCTGGCAGGGGTTGGACTGGATGAGCTTTTGAGGTCCCTTCCAACTCCTGATATTCTGTGATCCTGTGAAACGGGGCTTGCATCCAGCACAAAACTCAGTTTTCCCACCAGGAGTACAACATAACAAAGCCCTCCTGAAATTTCCACCACACCACCAGATTTCAGAGAAAGTTTGGTCCCATTCTCTTACCTGTTTCCCTTCCTTTGCCAGCCCAGTTATCTGCAGATAACTCGGCCCGCACGCCTTTTTACTTCAGCCAAGCTTTATGTATCACCTTCCCATTGTACCCTGACCCAATGGACACGGCCGGGGGAGAAAAATCACTCTACGAGACCCCAGGAGCATCTGCTGCTGTGGGAAAATGCGCTCTCCCAAGTGGTTACAACAGACACAGATTTTCTCCTTCTTTCCCCAGCCCCCAACGCAAGAAGGTTACAGGAGTCTGCGAATAAATCAATAAAGACAGCTACTTCCTTCCCTTTGAATATGAGTTTGTTATTCGGGTCAGGGAGGAGTCTCCTAAGCGCTGCGGCAAAGTCTTCAGAGAACAGGGATGGGAGATGAGAAGAAAACCCAGCTCTGTTTGAAAGATTAAAGTCAGAGTTACACAGACTGCTAAAACAATTAAAACCTGAGGCTTTCCAACCCTGGAAAGCGAGTTGCCTTCACCCAGAACAAAGTCACCATGCTCGAAAAGAGAAAAGCAAACACACCCTGCAGTATACAACAACTCCCGTTGGAATTTCACTTACAGCCACGACTCGAAGCCAACGGGAGCACAACGACACGGCTCTGAAGACGACCAGCAACTTACCCCGAGTTTCCTTTCCTCTTGATGATTTTTGTCCGACTTTTCACTTTATAACTGGACAGCGCAGCATCGCCGAGGGAGGATTTCACCCCGACGGACGCAGCGCTCGGAGGCTGCGGGGCAGCGCCGGGTCGAGGGAGGTTGGGGACCGGAGGCTTTTTCAGATCCTCGGATCGCCACCTAAATGCTGACCTGGAAGTGGAGGGCAAGGTCTGCAGGCTGGAGGCTTTCCACTTATATTTGCTGGGAGAAACACCCAGTTTGGACTGCAGCCCCGATTTCTTCAGCTTTACTCCCAAATCTGCTTTTGGGGAGACTTTAGCACCTCTGTCCGCTCCACCGGCGACCTTCTTGGCGCTATCCGAAGCTCTAGGGCTGCCCCATCTCTTCACAACACGCGAGCATTTCCCAGGGTTTGCCACCCACGTGTAATTCGTTTTCCTGAATTTGGGAGCTTTGCTGGAGACGGGCGTTGAGGCGGCTCTTTGGAAACCGGCAGTTTTGGGGACTACGAAAAACCTGCTCTTTATCGGAGACAGCCCAGGTACCAGAGTCACCGCCTGTGCAGGTCTAGACCACGTTTCGGCATTTCCAAGGAGCTTCGGCTCTCCGAAACCATCCCTGACTTGCTCACAGCTAGACTGCCCTGGAGCTGGTGGTTCTACCTTTATCTGTACCAAGTGCTGAGCCCGCTCACGATCCGGCAACACCGAAGGCTGCTGCGGCTCCGATTTCAGCGTCACGGCGCTTTCACTGGAGCTTCCGCAGGAGGCAGCCGAGCTCCTGGCCACGTCACTGGCCAGACGCACTGTTCGAGGGGCATCCGACACGCTCACGTACGCCGAACTCACGAACCGGTGCGATGAACTGAACGAAACGGAGAGAGAAGGTCTCCTCTCTTCATTTTGGCTCGCGTACGGAAATCCCTGCACGTTTTTACCATCGTCCGGAGCAGCGGCCTCTGTTTTCACCCCAGAAAACTCACAGTAAGAACCCACATCACCAAAACCTCCAAAGGGACCAGCCCTCTCTGGCAGCTGGATCCCCACAACTATGTTACCATCTGTGGTTAGGTCCACGTGTCTCTCTGGGGACGATTCTGGTGGCTCTGGAATCCGGTTGTCCCCATGGCTTTCAAAACCCCAAGAGGTGCTGGCACTCCGACCCCTTCTGGCATCGAACCCCGATCCCGGCGGCCGGTTGACGAGGGAGTATTTTTTCCTCCAGGACTGACCTTGGTGCAGCTGGAAATTCCTGGAAGCTTGCTGGGGGTACCTGCCTGAAAACGACCCCCTACTGCTGAAGGCAGAGGGGCGAGGGTTGTTCCACCTGGGCGGCGCGGATGGCAGTGGCCGCGGCGTGTCCCCATGCACATTTTTATGGCTGTCTATGAGACCTAAGGAGAAGAAGAAGACAGTATCTGTCAATCGCTGGTCTCACAGGAGGTTCAACAGCATCGCAGCGCTGGTTTTCATCGTCCTGCAATGAGAACGATGGCTCCATGCAGGTCACATTTCTGATAACGGGTGCTGGAGGGAAAAACTCCAAATATTTCCCTCAATCCTCATGGAAGTCAGGAACAAAAGCGATTGTGCAGGACAGCTCAACACAGATGTGAACCACAGACTCACCAACAGAGGACGACCAAGTGATCAGGCCCAGTCATTAATGGTTATAAACATGGAAAGGGTGAGTGTCAGGAGGAAGGAGCCAGGCTCTGCTCTGGGATGTCCAAGGACAGGACAAGGGGCAATAGGAGCAAGCTGGAGCATAGGAGGTTCGACCTGAACATGAGGAAAACTTCTTTAGTGTGAGGGTGCCAGAGCATGGCCCAGGCTGCCCAGAGAGGTTGTGGAGTCTCCTTCTCTGCAGACATTCAAAACCCGCCTGGACGTGTTCCTGTGTGACCTGGTCTGGGTGATCCTGCTCTGGCAGGGGTTGGACTGGATGAGCTTTCGAGGTCCCTTCCAACTCCTCACGTTCTGTGACCTTAACTCACGGCACTGGAGCCATCAGCCACCTTTCGCCCTTATACGCTCTTTTTTATGTGCCAAAATGGATGCTTGAATTATTGGGTTTGAAGCCTAACTTTTTTAAAAAATGCTAATTTTATTTCCAGAGATTTTGTTCAAGGTGGTCTCTGAGGGTCTGCTCACACACGTAACCCTGCACAGCTACCACCAGCCCCAAACACATTAAATTATTCAGAATCACAGCCTGGTCGGGGTTAGAAGGGACCTCTGATGATCCCCCAGTCCAACCCCTGCCAGAGCAGGGTCACCCAGAGAAGATCACACAGGAACATGTCCAGGGTTTGAATGTCTGCAGAGAAGGAGACTCTGCAGCCTCTCTGGGCAGCCTGGGCCATGCTCTGGTACCCACACAGTACAGATTTTTTTCCTTCTGGTGAGGTTGAACCTCCTGCGTTCCAGTTTGTGCCCACTGCCCCTTGTCCTGGGCACAACTGTGAAGAACACAACTTTGGTTGGAAAAAACCTTTACAATCATCAATTCCAAGGGTAAGCCAAACACTGCCAACTCCACCACTAAACCATGTCCCAAAGCACCACATCTTCCCGTCTTTTAGACACCTCCAGGGACGGTGACTCCACCACTGCCCTGAGCAGCCCCTTCCAGTCTCTGATAATCCTTTCCATAAAGAAATTTCCCCTCAGATTCAATCTAATCCTCCCCTGGCACAACTTGGGGCCATTTCCTCTCATCCCATCGCTTGTTCCTGGGGTGAAGAGACCGACCTCCCTCACTACCCCCTCCTTTCAGGAGCTGTAGCGGGCAATAAGGTCTCCCCTCAGCCTTCTCTTCTCTAGGCTGAACCCCCCCCAGTTCCCTCAGCTGGTCCCCATCATCCATGTGCTCCAGACCCCTCCCCAGCTGCACTGCTCTTCATTTTCAAAGCAGCAACCAGGAGGCTCTGAGGGGCCCCAGCTTCGCTGTTGAGTCACCGCACATCCCTCAGCCAAGCCACCACCCCTTCCCTGCGCTTTGCTTTACTCAATTTGGGACGGTTTGCACTTGTGAAACCTCCGTGTTTAGAAAATCTTTCCAATAAAAGGAATTATCAAAGGACTTTTTAGCCTTATATTTTCAACACTTGTCAGCAGATCCCTCCTGGAGAGGGCAAGGACCACGTTTTACCCCCACTCCACACAGGAGCTCCTGAATGGGGGCAGATCCCCTGCAAGGCCCAAGCCAAGCTTGTGGGCCTTACTAATGAGGAAAAATTACCTGGGGGGGGGTCCATAAACAGAGCGAGGATCCCCCCCCTCCCCAGTGGGGTCCCCCAAATCGCCCCAGCGCTCTCTGGTCTCTGTTCCCTCCCCGCCCTCCTGGGGCCTCTCCCTTCCCACACCCAGGCCTCAGCCCTTCCCCTCCCCAGAGTCCTCTCCGTTCCCGTCCCCCCTCTCCAGACTCCCATGTACCCTCCCTCAAAACCC